GAAATGCCTCCTCCACATGGTATACACTATCAACAGAATATAATTCAAGTGTTAGACTGGAACAGCACTTCAAAATTCAAAGTGATTCTGTATGGATCTGTGGTTCCAGTTGATCCCTCAATGGCTTCAATCTAACACCAAGTTTTCTTAGAAAACATTATGCCTTTTGATTTGTAGACTTTCTTTTACAGTCAATAACTTGATTGGAATGTGAATAACAAGTGAGATTCTTTTAGGCTCACACATCATTTGATTAGATTCTGTAATTGGGACTTGTTTAACAAGCAATGACCCATGAGTCAGAACTGAATCCAGTTGCCTCTCCCACCTCTGTGTGTTTACTCTGCAGGTCTAAGTAGTAGTGAAAACTAACACAAGAACATATGAATTAGAATGTGTAAAGAGGAAGCACAGGCCTGTTCAGTAAGATACTGCCAATTTTACAGGGACGTCTTCCAGGTTATAATCATAACTTAAAAATAGGTTCATTGCAGTCAGCAGCTGGCAAGCTTACAGTACTAAAAAGTAACATACTACTGACATGGAGATTGTCGCTTTATGTTTTAGAGACTGTATTTTCCAGTTTTCTACAGAATCAGAAAAAGTCCCTTTTAAATATGTAGTTTATTTAATTTCTCTAAGAAACAAGTATTCAAATGTTCACCAAAGATACATTATTTGTATAAATTTATTAGGAAAAAAAAATTAACATTCCGATACTTTGAGTACTAACAAATAACCTCAACATTCCCTACTTTCTATATCTTATCCATGGCTTTGGCTCATTTTCATATATTTCAGAGAGTAATTCTTGCTTAATAATAGGACCAAGACTATTAAAAAATGCAGGTTATGTTCCACTAATATTTTACACATAGCCACAATCCAAATAGCCCTCAAATATGTATTATAAATTGTTGTTTGACGATTATTCCATTCCACAGGCTGCACACGTCTGGAAAGGGCACATATCACATTGTCTACTTATTATCTTGATGGTTCATAAAACATTCCATGCTAACTTAACAGGCAGACAAAACTTACAGTAACAGTACCAGGAGCTAGACTCTGACCCCAAACTCCAACTCACCTCAGCCAAAATGTTTAAATCAGAATCAGTTATGAGACAAGCCATCTCAATGATCTGGTCTTTCTCTATGTCCAGTCCGGTCATCTGCAAAGGCAGAAGCAACAATGGTAAGAAGGGAGAAGAGCTATGGTTTATACTTTGAAAGGAAGGTATGTCTTAACACTTTAATCCCAGAGTTGGGCTAACACTGCTGTAATGCTCGTTTTTTGTCTTTGGTTTTTTCCATGGGTGCTTGCGCTGATTTCAATCACCGCTAGATGGGACATAATCAGTGATTGCTAGACTAAGAAAGGAAAATTTCCAAAGTATCTCAGGAAGCTGTGCAAATACTTAGGAAGTGAATTTAGAGCAGAACTGCTCACCCATCGCTAGAAAAGTGACCACCACAGCCAGAACCCCTAGGGCCCAAAGCTAAACGGGATGCATCCAGGCCTTGTGCAGCAGCAAAGGAACACAAGGGCAAGCCAACCTGTACCTTTGCAGGAGCAGGGAAAGGAGGAAAAGCTCGCCGATCCCGCTGGGTGCAGGGGTCAGGACTTGATCTCTGGGGTGCAGGTCTCTGCTCTGTCCAGACATCCCAGGCAAAAAGGCCACCCCTGACCGTTCCCACGGGGGTAGGAATCGCTTCCTGACACCCAGCCTGGCTTGCCCCTTGCTGCATACCTTGTAACAACCCTTGCGCACCCCAGCATCTGCCTGACATGGGCCCTCCCCCAGTCCTGCCCCCTCAGGCCTCCCC